AGCCATTTTATATACTACAGAAACTTTTATCATTGCAGGTTTTATTTTTTCATTTCTTTTACTTTTAATGAATATTCCAACGATATATTATCGATTATTTTTCTTGAAAATTCTTTATCGATAGAGCGTTATTCGTTGTCGCGTGTAAAACTCGGGTCTAAATATCCTCTCCGTGGAACAATAACGTAGAAAAATCATTAAACACGCCCTTCGGAGCTTGCACGCTCGAATTTCGCGCTGTCTGGCAAGCGCGAGAGATAAGAGCGTGTTTGTGGAAGGTATAATTGATGCTGGACCCAGTCTGGGATCGCGTTTGCCCTTAAGAGTTTGGAACTGGGTGGAGAAAATATAGGTTGTCTTCGTGGCTGGGCCTTTGGAGGGCCGCGGTCGCCCGCGGTGCAACACGAGGATGATATATTCTCTGCAACTGCAGCTGCACCACACAGACACCGCTGTTGGCTCGAGGTTTTGTGAGATTACGAAACTTCTGCCTTGTATCCCTCCTCGAAGACAATGAGATGTATGCGCCGAGATGAGATCCCCGTGGATCCCGCCATCTTGAACGTGTGCCCTGGGAAGGACCTCCTGTCAACTTGTCCTCGAATCTTTTTATGAGTCATTTCCTCCCGTCTCTTTCTTCTCTCTTAGATTAGTGTGAAAAAATTGTCTTCCTTCAAGGAAATTTCTTTATCGAATTTATAGAATTTATTTCTTAGCGAAGTTAAGATTTATTTCTTAAAAAAAAAGAACAAAAAAATGTCTCTTATTCTAAAATTAATTTAGTTCTCGAAAATTCTTCTTTAAATCCGTGAAAGAAAAGTCTCTTTTGCATTAAGGAATTTTTATCGCGAGATATTTGCACGCGGTATAACAAAACATAACCTCAATCGTGTAATCTTTTATGGTGGCAAGATGCGCAAAAAACGTTGGTTTTAATTCATGCTCATCAACGGATCAAAGAAAAGTACCCTTGTTCCGGGTGCAACATTTTATCCTAAATACATTTTAATGAAATAGAACGTACTCCTTGGCGTGCACACCTCGACGATTTCCACGCAAGTGCTGCATACCGCAAAAAGCCCCGGTTCGATCAACGAGGAGACATCGTGCACTATAATTTCGTGCTACTTGGGGGCGCCACGGCTCACAGGCATAATTGATACCCTGATTTCAGAGTGGTAATTCATAATAATCAGCTAAGAGATCTCGAGCAGAAGCCTACCCTTCCGTAGCAACGTTCTATTCCGCGTGGCAATTTATATAATAAAAATACGCCTTTTTCTTGTAGCAAGAGTCTTGATACAGCTCGACGATTTCTCTACGATCTTTAAACGCATGGCAAAAACAGTGCAGGCATCCATTTTGGAAAGAATACGATGCACATAGAAGATACGCGTTATAATTTTGTCTCGCGTGAGTCTGATATATATATATGTACGTATATAAGGTTTAATAACAAAATAATTTCAAAGTTTAATTCACGTGAGTCACGGTTGGTAATGCAGATGCAGTTTTCGTTAGTTAATTTCTGTTGGTAATGTAGTATTTTTACGAATGTATCTTTGAGGAATGGTGAAGTAGAGAAGATTGTATTAGATTATGTTATTTCACGAGAAGAAGTTAAAAGTTAAGAAGATTGAAAAATAGCTTCTTAATTCACTTTTCTCTTCTGCCATTTTTTATTATTGAATTGAATTGAAAAGATAGAAAAAAAAAACATTAGCAATTAAATGTGTGGAAATATGTGTTATGCTATTATGTTTAAAAAAAGAATTTCCAATCTTTCCTATCTTCAGTATGCTAATGAATTACAGCAATTATCGTAAATCCTCGGTTCCAACGAATGTTGCAGTAAATGCAATCGTCCACGATGGCAAATTACTCCTTCTTGTTAACCTTTTATTAAACTTTAAACTTTATAAATTCAAACTATATGTCCCGTAAATTTTATAAACTTTTAAAAAAGATCTTTCTCAAAGTCTCTCCTTTTTTTTCTTATTTCTTTTTTTATTTTTTTATATTTTTATTTCTCTATTCTGACTTCTTCGGCGCAAAAAGTCATCGTACAAAGAAGCGTGAAAAGATCTCCTCATTCGCGTTTAACAACGATGTCATGACCCATGTTTTTCATCTTCTTCCAACTAACGACGACGGTTAATTAACGTTTAACGTGAAAAAAAGCGGTAGATGAAAGTAGCTTCCATTCTTACGCTCGATCGCATTCGTGTACCGTTAGCGTCGCTATCGGAAATTCGAAACAATGTCGACCGTGTCGGCGCGTGATAGATGGCCCTGTGTTCCTCGTGGCCGTTTCTGGCGCGACCACTGGTGTCAGCTGCGAGGGAGAAACGGGATAATTAGCAGTGCCGCGAGTAAACGGCGTGTAAAGCGAGAATCGCGGCACGGGATAATTTGTGCAAGTTCGTTGATCCTCCTTCTTGTCCTCTTCTTGTAATTAGTCAGCAAGCCGGCTGAAGAGGGATAACTTTCGAGATCCGTTTGCTCGGCTTGTTGTGACTGTGTTAAGAACGTGGGTCGGGATGCTGGAGGCTAGAATTGTAGGAAATTATGCGGTGGTTAATATCTCTTGAAAGTTAGAATTAAAGTTAGAAGAAATTTGCAGGAGAATTTTTCTGGTATTTTTTTTTTGAATGTGGTATAACGTCGGTAAAGAAGAACAATGACATAATCTGAAGCTCGTAAGTGTAATTTATAATACAATGTAATAATACTTTGGATATGATATTAAATAGTTTTCTCGATCCTGTGAAAAATTATTTCCAGTTGATTTATTCTCGAAATGCTTTGTTAACCGGCCTTTGAATAGATTGAAAATTTTTTCGTCTGAATTCATAGATATCAAACGTGGTATCAAATATGGTTTCTAATATGATGAACACGACGAACAACATGGAGGGCAAAAAAAATTAACCTGAAATACGTCCAGAGTCCATTTATATCGCAATACATATATCTGCACGATAATTTCGCGTACCCAACGCATCTGAAACCTTACCATTACGAAACCACCTGAAACCATCATTACTCTTCACCCTCCATCTACCTCCATCAAACACCTTTACCAAAACCATCATTCGCGTTTCACACATTCCAAAGCAACCCATCCCAATCTTCTTAAATCAGAAGACGGGGAAAAAAACCAAAACCAAAATTAAAGGAAAAAGAAAAAAAGAGAAAGAAGCTACACGAAACGCTAAACTTCCGAAATAAAATTCAAGGACACAAGTATTATCATTGTGAAAACCTCGATGATCCCGATCTCCTTTCAAGATTCAAAGAGGATGCACGAGGACGAAGACCGGTCTGCCCGTGGTTCGCGTGCGGGGATCGCGTTAGAACGTTGAATATTTCATTCATAATCGAGCGATCAACGTATTTCTCTGCGCGCGCGGCAACGAATCGTAGTACGGCGATGCGAGTGGCCCCGCGCGAGGGTAAATCGCGCGCCGGTTGCAATTATGGGGATCGTGCGGCGGCCTCCGTGAATGAAACGTCCGTCCCTTCCTCCTCCCCCTCCTTTTTTCATTCCTTCTCCTCCTCCTCTTCTTCTTCCGCCTCCTTCCTCTCGCTCCGCCTCCTCGCCACGATTCTATCCTCCGCTATCCGCGGGTAGCTCGACTCAGCTTTTTGCGGAACAGAGGTTTAATGAGGGAGAGCCGCGGCGTTCCACGCCGATGAGGACGCGGCCCGTCCGCCTCGAGATTCCGCGGGCGACCTTCGAGCCGGGTCGAGGGTCACGTCACGCGATTCAGCGTGGGCTCGCGTGATTCAGAGACAAGCGGTGGGTGATTCGCGTGGGTGTCATTGTTAACGCTTTGTGAATGAGCCAGGAAGAGTGGGATGAATCGCTTTAATTGGTCGGATTTCTCTTCCTTTTTTTTTTTTTCTTTTGATGTTATTGGATATCTTGTTTAAGGTTCGCATTCTCGACTTTCACACATTGGATAATTATAATTTAGGTTATTGCCTATTTTAGAATAGGTGATCGATCTTTTTTGTATGCGAGTTTAACTGTTTCTTTGAGAAGTGAACGGATTTGGAATATTATTATCGAGTCACAGTGCAACCGAAGCATATTAGATTAGTTTTCAGAGAAGGTTTTGTCGATGAAAAGATCATTTGGTGATGGTTTCAAAAATATAAGATCTGAGAAAATGAAGGTAGATCGAAATTCATATTAAAGAAAGATATATTGAAAGCCACAAACAAATATCCCTAGAGTTACACGTATCTTTAAATGACATTTAGGTGCAAGCAAAAAAATAGAAAGTATTGCATCAATTAACACGGAATCAAAAATTAAATAAATAAAGCTCGAAAGTAGAAGTCCATTCTTGAATAGAATTATAACTTGTGATGAGAAATGTATTCTATACGATAATCGTACAATGATCCGGATAATGATTGGATGCCAATGAAAATCCTAAACAAATGCCGAAACCATCATTACGATCGAAAAAGTTATGGTGATAATATGGTGGTTTGAATAATTCATTGTTCTTTTCTGAAACAAGGAGATACTGTAACAATCATATTGCCAAGAAATTGATTAAGAAACAATTCTGCATGACATTGCTCGACCATCGCAAACTATCAAAAATTAGCTGAAGTACGAAATCTTAACCACCATAATCATTAGATATTTCACCAACCGATTATCACTTGTTGTTTCGCCATTTACAGTTGTTTTTAAAAAATAATTCACACTAAAATCATGCTTTATAAAAATATGTTAAAATCTCGTTGTGAAAAGAGATGGTTAAAACCAATAGCTCGTATTTCGATCGATTATAATAAAGATTATAGTTTCGAAAAATCTCTTGCAATACCTTGCCTGCAACTAAAAAAAAAAAAAAGTTCCACGAATAAATATTTCACGATGATTCATCACTCGTCCAAACCTTCCAAACCTTGGACAAACATCGTCGACAACAAAAAATCGCGAAAAAACTAACGAATCGTGCAACTTTCTTTTCCAGAACTTCCGCGAGCACCGGATCGATGGAGCAGCGTTGCCCCTTCTCTCGGAGGACCACCTGACCGGCCCAATGGGAATGAAGCTGGGCCCGGCCCTGAAGCTTCGCGCCCTCCTTGCCCGGAAACTGGGCGCGTGCACGGTGTGTTTGCACTGCGCGCACTGCCACCAGACACCTCTGCCAGCCCTGAACGCGGCCGCGGCGGCCGCCGCCGCCGCCGCGTCGCAACAGCAACACCAGCAGCAACCGCAGCAGCAACAGTTGCCTGGAAGGCGGCCAAGCAGCACGGGAAACTGACAAACAATGGCGGAGACTCCTCTGGGCCCGGAGGGCACGGTGGCGCCCTCCCAGGACCCGAACAGGGCCCTAAGGATAGAACGGCGCGTGTCACGCCCGATACGCAAGCCAGAAGTGGTGTTCAAGAAGCCCATCAAGCAGTGACGCGGATCACGCGACAGCTTTGCTCTGCGTGTATACACGTGACGCTGTGGACGATGTTACGGAGGCTCCGCCTGTGCTGTGTCCATCGAGTGTTCGAGTTTTATCGGGGACGTTCGACAACGATCAAGAGTTTCGTCGTGTGTATTGATCATACGTTACATTATAAGAGTACCTGGAGAAAAATGACTTACTTTGCTTGTCCCTGAGGCAAGAATTTGCCTGCGTTGTACTTACGTATATATGTTATATACGGCCGGATCGATTCGTGTGAGATAATATTCGTGCGCGAGGGGGGTGAGAATGGGCGGTTCTTCGAGAAGGAGGATGATTGGGGGAGGGGGAAGAGAGATTGCGTTTGGGATGGGAAATACGGGGAGATAAGAAGTTGTTGGTCACCGTCATACCTTTCGTATCACCTTTCCTTTATCTGTCGTTATTTCTTGTTGCTGTTGTTTATTTTATTCTATGTGATTAGTTGTTATTTGAATCGATTCGATGAAAAAAATATTCGTTTTCTTTTTACTAGTTGTTGTATCGATTGCGCATTTCCTTCCATCTTCCTTCCGTCAATTAACACACGAACTTCTTATTCACCTGGCATGGCCCAACAAGTTCGACTCGAGAAATGATCTCGAGCTTGAGACGCGATGTTTCAACGTTCAATCGATAATTTTATCATTATTATTTTTCGTTGAGAGGAAGAAACGAGCCTCGGGATGATAATCATGTGCCTGAAACGAGAAAAGAAAATACGGGAAAAAAAATTTATTTAAGAAAGGAGAAACCCCCTCCTCCCAGAGGTACAATTCTCGATATTTGATACTTTCTAATACGTTATTTTTTTTTTTTTACAAGTCGTTAAGAGACTTGTACCGAGCTTTCACGAGTTCTCCTCGCCTGGCAGGAAGTGGAGGGTGACTAACAAGTGTTAACGTTCTCGCGTTTATAAATTAGGAATAGACACGCGATGAGCACAAAGAAGCTGACGCTGCGTGATAATCAAATTAATTGGGATGGCAATTAACGATTAGAACGCCTCGTTTGCGTGCTTGTTCAAATTACACATCCTTCGATAAAAGAGGAAGGGAAAAAAACAAAAAAAAATCAGCGACCGGAAGCTACGTGTTCGATCCTTCGTAAGCAAATAGCGTGTCAAGGTACAACATCGGTTTCACGCGATATTAACGGCCTTGAATTCTTCGGGAATGTCTTCCTTGGCGAAGGAAATTAACGTTTTAGAATAATTATCGCGCGAATCGAAGTTCTAAGCGATGAATTAATTATTAATGGAGATTTTTTTCTTTTTTTTTTATTATATAGATATATATATATATATCACGAATAAAAAACGAGTGCCTCTATCGATCGAAAAAGTCTTCCAAAAGGCTAGCCTTTCTTAGATGGATGAGATAACGAGAGCGAGATGATTTTTTTAACGTGCAGAATTTGCGATTTCAAGCAAATGCTGTCCCTTGTTACCTGAGAACAGAGATTTCGTAGAGAAAAGTTCATTTACAGATAGCACAGAGATGTCTGATAATAATCTATTAACAGTTTGAAAACAGTTTTTTTAAATTGTTTTAAAATTGTTTCGTATTGCAAAACAAAATATTTAGAAAAAAAAAAAACAGTTATTCCACAGATTTTATCTGAATATCTGAAGTTCCATACCAAGAATTTGAAAAAAAAATGAGCATATGATTACCTTGCTTTATTTCTTTATTCGTGTAATAATTATGTCCGCTAGAGTGCACCACTGATCCTAACTTACGTATTTCTACATACGTATTCATTCACTTTTTTTTATTAAAAAAAAAGATATCATATTAATGTAACGAATAGTAATTATAATACAATGTTAATTACTTCAAGGCATCTTTAAGCCAGGATTCATATTACCATTAAATTTAAAATGGGTTTCAGATATCGTGTGCTATCTGGATTGTACCTACGAAGTAATTATTCGAGTTCTTTCACATGATAAATTCGAAAAATTTAAATTATAAAGCAAATGAATTTATTTTTATACTCAAATATAGCAGCAATAATTATTATTCCATGGCACTTTTCGTTTTAATTTGAATTACGATGATAAAAAATGCATTTGCTTTGATATTATAATAATTAATTATATAACAACAAAACATTACATATTTTTTTTAAACAAATTAAACACTTCTAGACAAGACAACAAACAAATTTAAGAATATCACTTTCGAATAATCGATGATATTCGTTCAAAATGAATTCGAATAATTTCACTGGAACACTAGCAATGACAAAAATAGACAGGAAAAGTGCCGAAAAGTAACGAATTCTCAATTCTTCATTATCGAATGAAGAAGTGAAGAAACAATGAAAACGATAAATAACACGAGGAAACAGTGAATAAATACTGTTTGTAATTAAATAAACTGCGAGCAATTGTTGTTTGAGAGTATGTAAAAGATGAGTGAACGAGAAATGATTGCGTGTAAGGATCGAGTGAAATGAAGAGAGAAAGCAAGAGAGAAAGAGAGAGAGAGAGAAAGAAAAACGAAACGAGACAACATCGTGTCAGCGAAAGTGGAAAATTAAAAGAAGAAGAAGAAGAAGAAGAAAAAGAAAACAATTAATGTGCAATAACGATGAAAATGAATGTTTTTTCAACGCGGTACTTTTTAACTGTATGGATAGGATGATATACGTATTTGCTCAAATCGTTGTTTCTTTTATATATTTTAACGAAGTTTTTATATGAATGAATTATAATGATAAAATATAACTAAATTATATTTTTGCTAACGTTCTACGTGCAGATCACACGAAGAAGAAGATACACGCGCGGGTATACATTCGCATACCGTAGTATAAATGTAATGTACACACACATACACACACACACACACACACGAGCGCATGCATGCGCAACCCAACACACACACACACAACATTGAGAGACGAATTGGAGAGAAGACGATACACGACGTAGATTTAACGTGATCGATGGATCCATCGTAGAAATTAGAGAGAAAAGAAACTGTAAATTAATTTTTCTTCCTCCCTTATTTTCAACGTTTAACGTTTATTTATTTAGCATTAAAACCGTTGCCTTATTGTGTATGTTCATGTAATAACAATTTAGTCGTATAAAAGAGGAGATAAAACTCTTGGGCGTGTGACAGTTGTTATTAAGTGGAGAGTTGATAAGTTCGTAAGACGAGCAGTATTTTTAGATTTACATTAGCCTGAATTTACTGCAGACTATATACGTTTATAAATATTATGTATACACACATACACACACATACACAGAGAGACAGACACACGTACATAAACTTACAAGCGCGGTCTCGCGCGCAAATCTGCTCGTGCTTCCAGTTTTCTACTTTTGCTTCTTTTTCGAAGAATTTCTCCAACTCTATGGAAAACAGCTTTAACTTTATTTCGATTCGATATTTCAATTCGACTGAAAGACTTCAATTTTTTTGATTTCAACTTTTTTTAATCATTTCCATTTTGTGTATATAATTGGATAAAAAATCTTTTATAAAAATTTTCATAGAGCTTCCAGAATGATATTTAATGACATTTCAACGCACAGAAAATTAACATGTATAATATATATATACACGTGTAGATATATGAAAAGAAAAATTGTGGACAGCACGAGCGGACATTAACCGAGCTAGCGGCTTTTACTTAAACCGAGAATCACTGTACATAATGCTTAAGCATTTATTTATATCGTGCTTTTTACAAAAGGACCCGTAGTATTTTATTTAGTTTCGTAGCAAAGGTTTATGCACATCATTACCGCGTGCATGGCACGAGATCATTTAATTGTCAGGTGTGCGAACACGGGAAGAGTATGCGTGCATTTGTATTAAGGAGAATAAAG